TGTTAGTGACCTCAAGTGACTGTTTGGGAACCAGTACGAAAAGCCCATCAAAATATTCAACACAGTCCGGGAATGTTAACCCTGACATGTGTTCCAACAACCACTGCACTGCCTTTAAACTCAGTGGCTACGTCCACTCCTCAGGTCGCTCATATTATAACAAACCCCGCAAATCATCAGAACATTATGCTGAATCTGCCAGGGCATCTCAAGGCTAATAATATACAGCAGCAGCAGAGGCCTGGAACTGTTGTGCTTGGGTCTAGTAATGTATTACACAATGGTTTGCCAGCAACGGTTGTTACGTCTGTACCAGTGTGTACACAGCAAAGCCCGAACCCTGTGATAATGTCTTCAGTGCCCATCAATACGGCACCATGCACTTCAACCCAGTCTTTCATAAAACATGAAGGTCATTCTTCATGTTCCGCTTGTGGGAGTCTGATCCCGCAGAACACTAGTGCGGCTATTTCTCGCCCTCACTCGAATCACGTGATGGACTCGGAAATGAGGGAAGAAACTGATGGGCAAGATGCTATGGAAAGTCTGAATAGCACAGAAAATTTGCAATCAAGTCAGTCTACAGTGACTACCAATCAGAGCACAGACATGTCAGCATTGAATAACAACTCTAGGCAGAGTACCGAATTGTCATACTTGCAAAGGACTAACCAATCAATGAGGGATATGCCCATGAGTGTGAGTGAAACCAGCCAATCACAGCACACTTCAGATGTGATGAGTATGATTAACAACTCCATCAGCCAATCAGAAGGAAAAGATCTGGAAAGTTTTGAAATGACAAATGATGAAATTCAGCAGACTCTGATGGCTAACTTGCATCAGCATTCTTCAAATCTGGTGGAAGAAAATTCACTGGACAGTTTTGATCTATTGACTTCATCAACAACGACTGGTGACATCGATTTCAATAACTTTGATGCCTTTGATATTTTAGATGGCCAGCTAGCAGACTTACTGCCAAACTTACATGAGAGCACAACTAACAATCAAACAAACCTAGGCCGGGGTAACAGCACTGTACATTCCAAAGACCCTGTAACTACTTTCCAGGTAAATCAAAATGCTTCGCAAGGACATGACAATGAGGCCTTTTCAATTGATGATGTTAACCAGGTAGAGAACTCGTACAACAATCATCCTGCCCCTGCTATCTCCATGGTAACAGAGACTGAGAATAGAAGAGAGATTGTGGAAGTGACTGATTTCTCCCCAGAATGGTCCTATCCAGAGGTTTGTTTATATTTATATTCACACATTAATTGTTAGTCCCCGTTCGGACGAAGTCCGAAAACGGGGACTTATAATTCGGTCTCCGTCCGTGTGTCTCTGCATCTGTGCGTCTGTGTATTTTGGACATGCTTTGTCCGTTTTCATTCAAACTTGGTACATAGATTATACATGTTAGGATACATTCCCATGACGATTTATTTCACAATTGGATCAAAGATGGCCGACAGGCAGCCATCTTGTTTTTTGAAAATGTCATATTTTGGACATGCTTTGTCAGTTTTCACTCAAATTTAGTACATAGATCATACATGTTAGGATATATGTCCCCGACCGTCCGTGAGTTCCTTAGTCTATCCGTCCGTCCGTCCATGTGTCTGTCCTTCCGTGCGTGCGTCAGTCTGTCCAGAGTCATATTTCAGAATCCTGTGGACTGATTCCGTTCATTCTTTGCATGTGCCTAGTACCTTATGTGGGACATATGCACATGCAGTGGTTTAGCGATTTGATTCAAAATGGCTGACTGGCAGCCATCTTGTTTTTTGAAAATGTTGTATTTTGGACATGCTTTGTCAGTTGTCATTCAAACTTGGTACATAGATTATACATGTTAGGATACATGTCCATGACGATTTATTTCGCAATTGGATCAAAGATTGTCGACTGGCAGGCATCTTTTTTTTTTTTTTATGCGGTATCTTGGTCGTGCTCTGTCAGTTTTCATTCAAATTTGGTATATACATGTACTTTATACTTGTTAGGATGCATGTCCATGACAATTTGTTTTAAAATCTGGTCAAGGATGGCCGATTGACGGCCATCTGACTTTTTGGCCTTACTACTATATTTTCACAATTTATGTACCATTTTCATTCGTATTTGGCACATACATCATACATATCAGTGTGTTTCATAATCAGATCAAAGATGGCCGAATAACGGCTGTTTTTATTTTGGCCATATTACTACTACACGGAACACGTGTTTTGATGTAAATAAACAATCTGTTGTGTATGTGACTTGGAACTCAAGTTTCAAGGACACGCTCGCGGCAACCCCTCCGCTTTAATATGACGAGCACAAAGTGAACTTTCAAAAATTTAACGGGGACTGTGTCATTTTCAATGACTTGTTTTGGTTTCAAGATTTTGTACACAATTTTAGCAGTTAAGGTCTCATACCACTAATTGAATTTCCACAGACGACAATGTTAACATATGACAAGATTGCTATATGAAAATGATGAACAAAGTTGAAAACATGGCTCAAAAATGGGAAATCAACATGCCAGTAATCAACCATATGAAAAAAACTAACATGTTGGCCAGCTCAAACTCGTGCAAATCTCAGGTAAACAAGACACACCTACTGTATTTGGATTGAAAAACACCAAAATTAGAACATCCAAATACACACGGAATAAACTCCCAGGTACACAGTCGCTAAGTAGTAAACAAAAGACCACATGTTGGTCTCACCTGAGAAAAAAATATTTAAAAAAATTTCATTGGTTATTGCAAGGCATTCAAATTGAGCTACGAGCAGCCATTGGTTGTTTAGTGGCATGAGACCTTAAAGTCCCTGTGAAATGGCTGCTATTTTCATGCCTAAAATTATCAATTGATACATAAATATTATTAATTTTTATGTTTCTAAGCATGAATTATATTTTTTAAGTGAAAAAATGTGTTTTAAACTCAGTCTACGGCAACTTTATTTTTGTGTCTTAAAACGAGGCTCTTCATTAGCTTCTCATTTGCATACAGAAATTCCCCTTGTGACGTCAGAAAGGGAAGTCGCATGGCAGCTAGCATTGCCGATACGTGTAAATAAGGCAAATTTCTTGTGCAGTTTTCTCGTCTTTGACTATATTGTCACTTATGTACTTGTTCGTCGAGGAAGAATGGACCATAATGAACACATAGTATCAATTTTTGTAGCAT